AAATGCAAAGTTCTCCAAATGCAGTAAAAATGTCTTTTCCTATTTTGGAGAACATCTAAATCAACATCCGAAGTCACCGCATTTGGATTTTAATGGTGTATAGTAGTACTTTGGTATCTCTCCAGGGGCCAACTCCTGTACTGTCATCATAGGGTAAAAACAAACAAACACACAAACAATCAGGAAAACATGATAAACTGCTTTCTCAGTCGCCTGCACAGATAGCAGTCAGAGTTCTTTAGCAGCCCTTCTTGCACAAATGCAAATGTTGGACGTTTCGCAACACTATGTAAAGGAGACCAGGCCGGCATCGATCAGCCAGTGGACTTGCAAATGGCTGCACTTGCTGGTATCGATCAGTGCCGCCTGGCAGAGCGGAGGAGCCAGATCACAGCTTGGTGGTTGCTTTTTTTGAATTCTTTTTTAATGTATCTTTTTTTTTTTTTTTTAAATGATTCTGACTGTCAACTGGGATTATTAGACTGCATAATGATATTTTTTTAGGTCCAAACATATGAATAAAATTACTTTCTCTGCATGTGTATTATGGTTATACATGCTTTCTGAAAGTAAATTAACATAGAAATAAATCTGTGATGTCAAGAATATACATTAACCCGTGTGGGCCTTATAAATATGTAAAAGGAGCACCTAGCTCTTTGCCTTTCCTTACCAGCATAATATCTTATACTGAATCTAGAACTGGACATTTGGTATATTATACAATTATATTTACTCAATCCAACTGAACAAGGTTTCGGATATATCGTGTTCATTGTTGCATCTGGGGTTCTAGGAAACACAATAAAAGACTCTCATGGAGTCTTACCTTTATGAATCTCACAATCATGTCCCAGATTTGACTTGTCTGCTGTTGCATCAGATTCTACTTGTCTTGATTCTCTTTGCAAACTATTCTTTCCACTTCTTTCTAAAGATATCCGTCTTAGCCTTCTTTCCCTCTTCTATTGGCACCTAGATCTTCCATTGCCGCTCCCTTTGGGGACCCTGTGCTCTGCTCACACTACCAGCATGGTGGCCGTGTGTGCCCTGCTCACACCTCTCTCCACACCCACGCCATCCACCTGAGAAGCTCTCTCCTCTTTCCTTCAAGGTCTGACAAGCATCATCTGCTTTGTGAACAGGACTTTCCCTGTTACTTGCCCCAGCAGCTGGGCTCCCTCTCGGTGTCCTCCTACTAGGGCACGCTGACTCCTCTTAGAGCTCTAGCAGGTTTTGTGTACTTGTCAGAGTCCTTGACCAGCTCGAAGAGAGCTCTGTGTGGACAGGGTTTCCGCCTTACTCACCTTTGTACTGCCACCACGTGGCCCTCCTGGGTAGACATGCAGCAATGTCGGCGGAATGCACAGTTCCTCAGTCACCTGAAAAACGACTTTCAAGCACCACTAGGTCTACAGGAGTTTTCAAACATTACAGAGGCTGGAAGAATCCTTGTGGAATCAAAATATCTATGCTGCTATTGTGTCCATCATCCAACACACTTGTTCCTGTCTCCTCCTGCCTTCTTGGTGTCCATCTGCTGATGGCTTTACTAGAACTAGAAAGTGCGAAAACCTCTTTTCCAGCCTAAAGGTCGATGATGGCTTCCACCATCCTTAGAGTAAAATAATGCCTTACCTCGGCCCGCAAGGCCTGGTGCCATCTTGCCCTGCCAACCTGCCCATCTCATGCTGTGCCACTCTCGCCTCACTCACTCGTTCCAGACACATGGACCTCGTTTGGTTCCTAGAATAGGCCGAACTCTCCTCTGGCTGGAGGCCCTCACATCTGCCATCCCATCTGCTGGAACGCTCGTGTCTTCCAAATGTCAACTTAAATGTCCCCTGATCACAGAGGCCTTCCTCAAGCCCTCCGTCTAAAGTAGATCACTCGTTTCCCCTACCCTTTTCTCTAGGACTCTACCCTGTTTTTATTCTTCCCTGCAGAATGGCAGGTGGCAATTTTCGTTTGTTTACTTGTTTGTTTATTTTTCTACTTGTTCATGGCCTTTCTCTAACTCTCATTCAACTGTGAGCTCCTTGAGGGCAGGTGCCACACCTATTTTTATTCCTCTGTGTCTTCCAAGGCCCATGACTGCACCTTGCTTGGAGCAAATGATAATAAATAGTTCCTGAATGTCAAATAAGTGATCATCCCAGAGCAATCCTGTAAAACGGCTTCTGTAAACACATAGATTCTCAGAACAACCAAGTGAAATACCGTTACAAAGTGCTAAAATTACTTTAGGTGTGGTTGTGACTGGATGTTTATTTCTCCCCTGAATCCACACGTTGAAGCCCCATCTCACAATGTGATGGTATTTGGAGGTGGGGCCTTTGGGAGGTACTAAATTCAGATGAGGTCATAAGGATGGGATTAATGCCTTTAAAAGAAGACAAAGGTCCCCCCCCCTCCACAGACCACAGAGCAGAGGCCACGGCGTGCACAGTGACAGGTGGCTGTCCACAAGCCATAAGACAGCTCCCGGCGGAACCTGGCCCTGCTGGCGCTCCCATCGCTGACTTCCAGCCTCCAGGACTGTGGGAAAATAAGTGTCTGTTGTCAAAACGGCCAGTCTGCATTTTGTTATAAACAAAGGTTGCCGGAGCAGGCCTCAGGTATTTTGGCCAGTTCTTGTTTCTATGATGCTTTTGGTGGCTAACTTGCAAGATCATTTAGAACATTTACTAGTTATCTTCCCTTCTGACTTCAAACTTGCATGTATTCTCTAGCCTGTTTTCCTCCGTGAGCTTGGACTCATTCCCCCTCTTCACTCACACATACACAGCTCAGCACATACACCGTTCGTGAAGTGATCTGAGCTCCCACCCAGTCTAAACCCGAATGTGAGTTCAAATGAGTCCTTTGTGACATTTTTAAGAGAGAGTTCAGTGAGATCCTGGACTGTGAAAAAAGGGATCTGCTTGTTGAAATAATCTTTTTATCTTTCAAATACTGTAATCTGCAAAGGAAGCACGATGTGTTGACTTTGATGCATTAGTGGTGAGAGTATTTTGCACGTGGCACATTCCACAGCTGTGTACACACACAGGGCATTGCCTAAAATATGAGCCACACTAGGAAATAGATGAATAAATTCTGATTTACAGTAGCTTCTTTTGCTCCAATTTTTGTATTCATTCAGTAACAGTTATTATTACTATTATTTTTATTTAAAAAGACAGAGTTTAATACCCCTGACCTCTCTCAAGCCATTCAAGATTAAGCAAAGGTTAGGGCTCAAGCTATCCAGAGGCCACGTCGCTCACACGGCTGTTCTGCTATGAATGTTGTCCATCAGAACAGCAGTAGAATCGCCATGATGGCTGATAACACATTCTTCAAAGTGAACATGACATACTGGATCCTACAAGATCCAGGTCTTTCAGGAAAGATGCAGTGATGTTAAAGATCTCCAAGCAATTTCATGCACGGCTCCATGAGATCTGCTGGGACCTACAGGTGATTTTTGGAGCAACTGTATTAAAAGCAGTAGTGTTTGAAGAAGATTGAGCAGGTTAAACCCCCCCCCCAAAAAAAACCAAAACAATCCCCCAAACCCACCCAGGCCACGTGGCACGTGCAGGAAACATGGACTTGCCAACGTCAGAGAGGATCTGCCCGCACCAGGGACTCCCTGGAACACGCTTACTTCCTGGTCCAATACACCAGGTGCTCAGCTGTCATGAATGAGAAGTTTGTCAGGTTTGCCTTGTCGGGATCCTTGTGCTATGTCTAATCCTCTGGCAAATGTGTTCAAGGCCTCCCATGTGCCAGTTGCCATGCGGCTCTGTAACCCTCTCTTAGATGCCACCTGTGGAGTAAGAGGGGCAGAGGTGCAGAGGATGGGAAGCTGGTGTGCCCAGTGGTTAGGTATTCAATGCATCAAACATTTGCTGAGGGTTTGACACGTGCCAGGCACTGTGTCAAGTTCTGGGGGTGCAAAGAAATTCCATGGGGCCCTAGTTCTCAAGAGATCCCAGTCTGAACAGAGACTGACCTTGAGGATGTATTGTTTAGGGAAAGTAGCAAAGTACAGAACAGCACAGATGTTCCCAAGTAAAAAAGAGTGTGCACAGTAAAATGGTGTATGAAACACATGAACGCACACATGTATGCATGTGCTGGTAAATGCCTAGAATATCTGGTAACACTGGTTGCTTTTGGGGAGATTTTGTTTTCTTTTGGCACCTATCATTCTCTTCAATGGTTTTAGGTATTTATTTGTTAAGTTATTTATTGTCTTTTTCTCCCACTAGCATTCCTAACAGCTGTATCTCTAGGAATTGGAATAGTCCTTGGTATGTTTTAGATGCTTAGTAGTTTTTGTTTTTCCTTCTAGTTGAATGAGCATAGAGTTCAGAGATGGAAAGGAGTCTTACTTTTAGCTGTCTGTCACTTTGTATGGCTTAAATATTTAATGTTTTACTATAAAAATTCAAATATATACAAATGGAAAGATAATAGTATAGTAAATTCCATACATCCGTCACTCCAAACTAATGATTGACTCATGGCCAATATTGTTTCATCTATATTTCCCTTCATTGTCCTTCCTCTGAGCCAAGATTACCTTGAGGCAAATTCCAGACATCATTATATTTTTAAGTATTTTAATATGTAAACTATAATATATCCCATACCTAAACAAATAAATAATAATTGATTAACATAAAATATTTAGTATTTAAATCTTCCTAATTAGTGTCATCATTTTTTAACAGGTTGTTTGAATTTTATCTGGCAGTGTGCATGTATTATTACCTTTTCATGGTTATACCAGTAGATGTTCACAATAGGGAATATAGCTTCACCCACCCATTCATCCATCCATCCTTCCTTCCTCCCTCCCATTAAATATGCATATTAAATGCCTAGTATGTGTCACACTGTTCCTGTTACCTAAAGATCTTTCACGCTAGCTGAGGGAAACCAGTAATAACACAAATATGTAAAAAGTTGATACTGTGTAACATGTATTACATTTAAAAACTTGATACATCGCTTCTCGGCCTTTTGGCTAAGATCAAGTGTAGTATCTGTTCTTATCAGTTTAAAAACTTGATACAGCATTACATGTATTATAATAGAAGGGTCAGGGTGTTCATAAGATTGACATAAGAAAGTTGAAGTATTTAGGTCCCCATGTGGTAGTTAAAATTTGCAACATTTCATATTATGATAAAGCTCTGTTAACAGATCATATTAATTCTTTCTGTAATGAATAAATGAATTAAGACATCAAAAAAATTTTAATACTCTTTTACAACTGGGTTGACTGGGCTGAGCTATTGTAAATCAAGTCATGATAACTGGGAGCCAGAAAATACTTGCCAGGGTTTGGGTGGTCAGAGTTGGGTGTTTATGAAACAGAGCTAAGATCAGTCTGCCACCAGGCTCTGGCATATGCTCTGTAAACAATGGATTGGCATTTACACAAGCCAGGGCAGTGGATGTAAACGAATGCTCCTTGAGCAGGTCTCCTTAGAGAGAACCTTTTCTTGTTGGAAGACGAATAACATCAGTGCAGATATCTATCCCTAAATCATAAAGTATCTTTTGCCCATTACTTGCATGTTCTAGGAAAGCAGAATTACTGGTAGGCTCTATTAAATCCAAGAGTATTTTTGAATAGTACTTGAGTCTCACATTGAAAGGTGGGATTTGAACTCCTGAAAGGAAATGCCAACAGTGTTAAAACAATGTTAAAACCGAAAAGGGCCATGACAATGTTTTAAAACTCACACGGTTATCAACACACTAGATCACCTTAAAATTTTTGATTAAAATTAAAATCTGGTTAAAAAGGGAAAGGAAAAAACTTTTTAAAAAATATGTTTTTATTTATTTAGAAAGAGAGGAAGGGAGGTGGAAAGAGAAAAACATGCATCATGAGAAAAAGAAACATTGAAACATCAATCGGCAGCCTCCTGCACGCCCCCTATTGGGGATCCAGCCCACAACCGGGGCATGTGCCCTGACTGGGAATCAAACCGGCAAGCTCTTGGTGTACCTGATAACGCCCAACCAACTAAGTCACACAGATCAGGGCAGAAAATAACTCTTGACAAGCTATTCCGAAGACTATAAAGTAGTGTGACTCATTTTTACACAAATGATGTTTCCTATAGTGGTCACTTTGTAAGCAGGGGAATTTTTCTTCCAAAGGTAAGTTGTGCAAAACATTTTAAAAAAACCTTTCTGGTAATTGCTCGCAAAGACCGTTTCTCAGTCACGTTAGAAAAACAATCCACTTTCTGAAGTTTAGGGTTAGGGTTAGGGTTTGAGCTGGAGGAACATGATTGAGTATGCTGACTAAACACATTCATTTCTTTTTTTTCACTAAAACTATGGTGCCTGTGTCACTGCCTGAAATCGATCAGATTCTAGTTTGCATGGTTAGGGTTTGGCGTACTGCATACAAACTACTTTGTTAGTCCCATCCTGCCTTCCACCAACTTTCTTCTTTTCCTCTAAATCCTGATTTAGCTCAGATTGTCCTTTCTTCAGGATTTCGAGAACTCTCAAAAGAGGCAAGAGGATGATTCTGCAACCTACAAACCTATGGCTTTGATTCTAATTCTGGGTAAGATGCCAGATCTATCAACTGGAAAGAGGTTCAAAAGCATAGAAAGAGAAGTCATGATCTTGAGAAGTGATGATCATGGGTTCACCTAGGAGTCATGTCGGATCAACCTCCTTTCCCTTCCATCGGGTTACAAGACCTCTAGATACAGAGGACGTGGTGTGGTGGAAAGCAGCCTGGACTAGGAGTTGAGAAGTCCATCCTCAAATCCTTCTTGTCATTTTCTAACCACATGGTTTGGGACGTCACGTGTCTTCTGTGAGCCTTATTTGCCGCATCTATAAAACCGGGGTGGCCCTGGCCGGTTTGGCTCAGCGGTTGGAGCGTCGGCCTGCGGTACAGAGACACCCGGGTTCGGTTCCTGCTAAGGGCACGTACCTCGGTTGCAGTTTGTCCCCGGCCCTGGTTGGTCGTGCGGGTGGCAGCCACTCGATGTGTCCCTTCACATCGATGTTTCTCTCTCTCTCTCTTCCTCTCTCTCCCTCCTGCTCTATCTGAACAAAAAATGGAAAAATGTCCTCGGGTGAGGATAAAAAAACAAAAACAAAAACAAAAAACAGGGATGAAATTAGCTCCCAGAACAAGGTAATAAATGAATTAACAATACTTTCCTTTTAAGGACTGATTTGAAGATTAAAAGAAAAAAATGAACCTTAAACAGATCAGAATATGATGAAGCAAATAATTCAGTCTGTGTGAATAATGGCCACACACACAGAAAAAGACAAAAACAAACCAAATGTGCAATTGTAGGCTGGAATGATGAAAAGGAGTAGAGGAAGTAGACTGGGAACATTTAGTCTGGAGAAGGGAAAAGCTCAGGTAGGGATGGGACAGCATCACACCTGCTATCGAATAGTACAAGGGCTGGCAAAGGGCAGCCCTGGGGCTGAATTCAGTTGACTGCCTACTTTTGTACGGTCTGGGAGTTAAAAATGATCTTCCCATTTTTGAAGGGTTAAAAAAAAAAATTAAAGGAATATTGCATAAAATTCAAATTTTAGTGTCATAAGCAAAGTTTTGTTGGAACACTGTTGCCCTATTCATTTACATCTAATCTATGCCTGCTCTGGGTTACAACAGTGAGTTGAGTTGTTGTGACAGAGACAGTATGGCCTGAAAACACTAAAATATCTATTCTCTGGCCCTTCACAGTAGTACCGGGGGAGTAGCACCTACCTACTCCTTTAAGAAACCCTCACTGGTCCCATGAGCATATGATTCCAAGATGAGAGCTATTACATCTGTTATATTACTTCTTAAATATTACATTGAAATTGTCTGATTGTTTCAGCACATCAGTTACTTGCAGGACAAATGGCATTTTCCACGAACATAACATGTAAGCTCTTTGGAGTCAAGGACTGTTTGCTTTTCACTGTTGTATCCTCAGCACAGAATGCAGAGCCTTACATACACAATACTCTGGGCCAGGTACTATCATCACCCTTACCATGTGTCAGCTCACTTCATGGCCACAGAAACCCTATGAGATAGGTTCTATCGCTCACACAAATTTACAGCTGAAGCAACTGAAACAGAAATGTGAAGTAACTCGCCCAAGATGTACTGGTGTGTAAGGGACAGTGCTGGTGATGAAACCAGGAAGTCTGGAGTCAGAGTCTGTGCTCGAAACTGCTACACTTCTTGTTGAATAGTAAATACACTTGTATATTTACCCATGACTTGATTGTGAACTATCTGAGGGTAGTGATCATAAAGTACATGGTTTTGCTTTTCCACAGAGTTCAGCATATGATGTTATAATGCAGTTGAGGAATGAGCACTTGACTTGGACTTAAGAGACCCAATTTCCAGGCCATTGTTCTGTCTCTGGGCTGCTGAGTTACCTTGGGATAATTCTGTGACACCTGCTGAGCCTCAGGAGTGACTTTGGGGCTTAAGGTTTTGAGGGATGTATTAGTTTCCTAGGACTGCCATAATAAAGTACCACAAACAAGGTGACTTAAAACAGCAGCAATTTGTGCTGGCCAGTTGGTCTCAGTGGATAGAGCACTGGCCCAAGGACCAAAGGGTCTCAGGTTCAATTCCCAGTCAAGGGCACATACCTGGGTTGCAGGTTTGATCCCCAGTCCCTGGTTGGGGTTGTACGGGAGGCAACCAATTATTGTGTCTCTCTCAACATTGATGTCTCTCTCTCTCTCTCTCTCTCTCTCTCTCCCCCCTTCCACTTCATCTAAAAATCAATGGAAAAATATCCTCAGGTAAGGATTAACAACAACAAAGAACAAAAACAACAGCAGCAGCAGCACTTTATTCTTTCACGGTTCTGGAAGCTAGAAATCTGAAATAACATGAAGTAACAGGTTAAGCCAGGCTCCAGGAGAAGATCCTTCTTGCTTGTTCTAGCTTCCGGTGGCACCAGGGGTGCCCTGGCCTGTGGCAATGTAACTTCAGTCTCTGCCCCGTCTTCACGTGGTCTTCTCCGTGTCTCACGTCTCCTCTTCTGTCTCATCAGGACACTTGTCGTTGGATTTAGGACCCACTCTAAATCCAGGAAGATCTCCTATTGAGATCCTTACTTATATCTGCAAAACCCTATTTTCAGAGAAGATCACATTCACAGGGCTAGGACTCAAACGTAGTTTTTGAAGGCTGCTATTAAACACACTATAAAGGATAACAGCCTTTTTGAGAATTGATGGATGTAATAGACTTTCACAAAAGAAAAAAGTTAAATATTTTAACACTCAGATATTAAAATGTTGCTTATAATTGTAGGCAATTTTTGGAACTCAACTGAAGTTCAATCATAGGCCCCAAGTTAAGAACTCTAGTACATATCATCTCTGAGGCCTCTTTCAACTTAAAAAATTTCCGAGTTAGTTCATATTTTACAAATGCATTTCACTTTTGGATAAACCATGCCCTTTGTTCCTCAGGGTTTTTTTTTACACTTTTTGAGGGGGTCTCACCTATTTTGTGTGGAAGCAGGTTCTTCATAGAGCATGGGCCATCCTGGAAGACAGTTTCAGGGCTTCTTAAGCTTTTCTGATGCTTACATTTTACAGGCAGATCACTCAGGACATTATTTTCATTATGTAAAAGCCCAGTTGTGGCCCTGGCCAGGTAGCTCAGTTGATTAGAGCATCATCCCAATATACCAAGGTGGTGGATTTGATCCCTGGTCAGGGCACATACAAGAATCAACCAATGAATGCAGAAATATGTGGAACAACAAAACAATCTCTCTTTCTCTCATCAATAATAATAGTAATAATAAAAGCCCAATTGTGGCTTTCCTTATATAACTGAGAGGTAGCCATGAGTGATTGAATTAAAAAATTCTATCATGTCAGATTTTCCCTTCCTCATATGCCCTTTCTGATGTTTTCATGTGAAGATTAGGTTTTAGGAAAGTCACTAACTGATCATCAGATAGTGGGTTGATTTATGTGGATGTTTATAAACAAAGTCATCTGTCCACTGAGTCATTTTTGTGCTGGAGCAATCAGATGTGATGGTAAATCAAACTCTAAGTGACTTCATCACAAATGATTAGGCAATATAATTCTGTTCTTAATCATAGTTTTAGTGAGTGGTTTCCAATAATTATAGCAGCACTACGTGTAAAGCAAATACT